TTGTATTAATGTTATCATTATTTATTATTATTAATGTTATCACATTAATGTTCCTACTCACATCTAATGTGAGTAGGAACCATCTTTTTTAAAAAGGATTGAACTCCACACTCACCCCATCATTTATAATCTCTATACATTTTATTTATCCTGTCAACGTTTCGATCTTTATTGAGATCATCTTCAGGGCACAAAGTGTTTGTTTTTCCGTATAGATGTGTCATTCTTGTCTATCGTGTTGCGAGTGCCACTGGGCTCGACCTCCAAATAATCATTAAGTAACGTCCACTAAACACCACACAAATTTATCCAATATTCAACGGGTTATTAAATTGAATATATCTGGTTTTTTTTAGTCTGTTAGGGAAATTATTAAAATTACATAAACATTTAAGTACATTGCTAATGGAAAACAAAATATCTATAGTGGCAGGTCAATCCAAGTAGATGTAGGAAGCTATGTGTTTTTTTTCTGTGTAGAAATTTAATGCCCCGTTTAGTATTATGTTCGTTGTCTTAAATTGTCTAGTAGTCTTTTCACTCTAGAGATTTTTCAGTCAGACATTTTCAAATTTTGCAGAACGCGAAACAGCGAAAATAAGCTGACCGAAATCAATAACCGGAAGGTTACTTAATGTTTAGAAAATACAACCCGCACGATCGAATGGTGTTGCGGGTAAGGTTATACCTTGGACTCCTTAAAGAAATCCCAATTTTACAGTAAAAGTAAATAATATAAAATTGTAATACTTGTCGAAGAAGATCAAAGTTTTTCAGGTGATCTCTTTAACCGTTTGTAGGAGATAATATTTACTTTTAAGCTTTAAAATAAATCGAATAACTTTCAGCTCTAAGTTATTTTACTCGCATTTTCTACACAATTAATAATAGTATTCTTTTGAGACGTTTGAAATATTGCTGTGTACTTTATATCACCTTTTTAAATTTGCACATTTATTGTTCATGTCACTGAACTATTTCACCATTCGCTTAAGATTTAACTTTGCAAAATTTAAATTGATTTATAAATTTAAAAAAATTAAGTTTTGCTGATTGAAGATGTCAGGTCTTATTCAGTGTTTATGCCACTGAATATGATTGGTCTGGATCTTGTATACTGACGAGCTTGTCGAAGAGCTTGACAAAGTTATGAATTGGGTTAGGAGATGTTTGACCTCATGTGGTTAAGCATTGGCTCATGTGGTTGCTTCCTTCTATTCTTGATTTCATTTCCTTAGTGAGATGCCCCTTTAGCAGATTGGAGTTAATGTCAACACAAATAGAGCTGACGGCTGCTTCTTTTGCTAATATCTTTGCTTCTTGGTGCAATACGAGCTTTTACCTTATTGATTTGTTTGTAAGATTCCTTTCTTTTTTAAAAAAAGTTTGTTTGCAAGTTTTCCTAGAAATATTTTCATTACTTCGTTCAGTGAGAGACAATGGTTAATAACTCGTCCTCGGCTACTTCTTTTGCTAATATGTCTGCTTCTTCGAGCAATGTGAGGTTTTATCTTGTTGGTCTTAAATTTATTTCCACATCATATGAATATATTTAATTTACTACCTTCTCTAAAACTACGCCAAAATTATTCTAGTTTTCATTAACTTGGATATAAACTTAGTTACATTATTTGTAGAATATTGATGTTATTACGATGTAAAATAATCTTATTTTCCCAGATGTCATTTAATTTTAACTATACTTAAATAAATAGCTTGATAATTCTTTCGTACATAACCTCTAACCGCTCTGTTATATTGAAATATTTGGTTGAGTGACTGTTTGTTTATTTTTACTTCTTTTATATGGGTAAATATGGTTTCTAGATCAAAGTCGTTTATGTTGTTTCGTTTTCATGACAATGTCTGACATTTCTTTCTATTTCGTCAATTTGACTTCAAAGTAAAAAATAGTTAAAGAAATCCTTTTCTCTAGGTATACCGTAATCAACTGTATCGAAAGATTACAATGAATATTTTTAAATTTTAAACAACACCTCTCGAATGAATCTCAATTTGGATTCGGTCTATTAAAATTTTATATTAATAGTCGCAATATAACTTGCGTTGTTAAGAATTATAAATGCCTTGCTATAGGTTGAATCAATTAACGTTTTACTGCGACCGCTTTTAGACCACAGCGTAAATCTGCACCATTGCTCTAAGGAATAATTAACGCGTCTGCAATATATGTACTTCGTTTAGTCTATTTATGATTCTTCTTTTCTTAGTTGATAGTATTTTTCATTTTTTAACTATATTTTTGTATTTATCAAATCTCTATATATAAAGTTTTAAACTTTATTGGGATAGCTTCATATCACTATGAAATATATAGTTTAATTTCAATAACTGCGAATATTATTTCTTTTCGTTTATTAAAACAGGTATAAAATTATATATGGATGGTGATGTTTACATCGAGGGAGAATTGAAAAAAATTTACTCCTTTCCACCACGAGAGTGGCTGTACTAAACGCCATTCCCATTGCATCGTAAAAAGTAAATCTGATAAATAATGGGATCGACAAAATTGGGAAGAGGGTGTTCTTGTCGTGGGTTACCGGGCACATAGAAATACCCGGAAACGAAGAAGCAGACAGGGCTGCCAAAGGTGCCACTGGAAAGTCCCACGATGCTTCACATCTTGTACGCCCAGCGAATTTAAGAAAGAAGAATGGAGAAACCGTTGGGCTCTTAAAAATTGAACTAATCCTGCCATAATGTGGCAGGTTAAGGAGGTCGGTCCCTGTCCACGAGAACGGGTCGAAAAGGGAAAAGCCATACTGACAAGATTGTGCATAAATCGTACAAAAACAATTCAGGGTCACTTTTTGGCCGGAAAACGATCGCGTAGGTACCATTTATGCAAAATTAAAATAACTGTCGGTAGTGGACAAGGATGTTTTTTATTTGATTTTTATTTTGTTTGAAAAATTTGGCTAGTGATTGGCAAAATTTTTTTTCGCTGCTATCTCTCGCCTATGTACCACCGTTATCTTTTATAGAAATGATGAATAATGGAGTAAGTGCTGTGTTCAATACTTTTTTAAAAAGATAGTTCCTACTCACAGTAAGTTTTTTAAAGTGAACCCGTACTTCTAAAAGCTATTCTAGAACCTTCTGTTTAAAAATGTAACTTTTCCGATAATTCACCAATGTATGGCAAACAACGGAAACCTAATGGTTCATTTATGGTGGGGTGGCTGAGTCCTATTGATGGTAGTTTTAAATTTAATTTTTTTACTATTTTAACTAGCAACCTATCAATAAATATTTCTAGATACCCATTGTTTTTTGCTAATGTTTTAATAGTTTTTATAGTTAGCAGGTGTTAATGGAAGTTTTAACATACGGTCTATGAGTCAAATGAAACCAGCAGCCTTTTGGGACCATGGATGGGAAAAATCCGACAGTGTCATAGTGTCTGTAGTTGTGTGTTTTCTATATACGTCTATTTCTAGGTTGTTTGTTATGGACAATTTTAAATCTAAAATGTTCAAACAACCATCTTTGTTAATTTCCAATGTAAAATTTATATTACGGTGTTGAGAATTAATTAGTTGGAGGAATTCTTTAAGATCCTCTTATGTTCCCGACCATATGCAAAATATATGGTCTACATAGCGTTTCCAAAAATGAGCAAATTTAATTATATTATTTAATTAAATTAATTAGTTGGAGGAATTACCACCCCAACATAATTGAATCATTAGGTTTCCATTGTTTGTCATACATTGGTGAATTATTGGAAAAATTTAGTAAAATTTTGAAACAAGAAGGTTTTAGAATAGCTTTTAGAAGTACGGGTTCACAAAAAATTTACTGTGAGTAGGAACAATCTTATTTAATAAAAGAACCCTTAACTTTTTGAAGGAATTCGGGCAATTGGTCAATTATTTTTATTGCATTTCATAGTGGATAGGCATGGATTCCCCTGGTGTTAAGTGTTCTAGGTAATTTCTGAATGAGTCGTCATGTAGATTTTATCTCTCTTTTTATTTTTATTCAGAAATCGTGAGATGCGGTCTGGTACCACGATTTCTGAATAATTATCGATTAACGGTCACTAATCACCAGACATTGTTAAAGACATTTTTGTCTACAGGGTCCTTTGAATGTTGTCATGTTCTCTTAGCCTTCTTCTTCTGATTCGCCAGTTTTTAATTACCTTGGTATAGTTGAAACTGTCGTGCTGAGTGAGGTGAACATCTCTGCTTTATAACAAATTGTTCTTCCCCGAAAGTTAAATAACATTTTTGTGCAATTTGTAAAATTTCATCGAGTGGGCATGTAGGGTGATGTAGTTTCATCATTTACAATCATTTTACTTTGCTTAACCTCATTACTTTTCTTGTTTGACGGTGTAATTGTCGAAAAACGAACAACATACATTTTCATCAAGCAAAAACATAAGTATCTCCTTCTAAAATGATTTTATTAAATGCTTATTTGATCGTTAGTTCTTTCTAAATGGTAAACCGATTTAAACGAATAATCAACATTTAAATTTTAAACAGCGTTGAACAATTTGGTTATATATTTTATCAGAATGTTCTTCCTTGGTAAAACAACGGTGAAAGAACGATGCTTGATATGCGTGAAGCGGAAAAACACCTTGTCACGTACAGTGAGACTAGCGGCCCAATCATGCATATAAGAACCCTCCAGACCCACAAGTAGGTGGTAGCGAACAAGGTAACTGAAAAAAATATCTTAAAGTCATAGAGAAAGGCACTATAACGATCAAGAACAATTAGTTTTAAACCAGCGAACAAATTATAATAAATGGAAAATATTTAAATTGAGTATTCAATTCACATCAAAAGAAGGGACTAGCTTTTTGTCTGCTATTTTTGGTAGCGTAGTTTTATCTTTCAATAAAATTGTGTTTCGAATATACTAGTGAAAAGATTTCAAAAATTTTTACGGTTAAATTTACGTAAAAAAATTACACACCCACAAGTTTTCTTTGAATATATAAATATATTAAATTTTACCTGATAGAGTTAATTAACAAGCACTGCTAACTGTTGATATTTGTTATGTTCCAATAAACTAAGAACAAAGACAATTATTAATAAAGTGTTTTTTTAAACAGATATGTGACAATTAAAATGTATGTACATTACATATATACATATATATATGTGGGTGAGAGAGTTTGTGTGTGTGTGCTTTTTTGATGCCCGGCTGAATTTCGCTTAAATCACTGACGCTATATCAGAAAAACAAAAAATACGTGTTTAATATGTTTTAGACTAGTTTCAATTTTTTAAATTTCTCTCTTTTTCTCTCTCTCTCTCTCTCTATATATATANTGTGTGTGTGTGTGTGTGTGTGTGTGTGTGTGTGTGCGTGCGTGCGTGCGTGTTTTCACTCAATAGTTATCTCTTAAGAGCTATTATGAACTTATAGCAGTCAACCCTCGGGGGTGCCGGTGTTTTTGAAAAAATGCCCATTTGTAAGCCCGCTGGATTCGAACCCGGGACCTTTACCTTACAGTGATGAGCGCCGTGTCAACGCCTAAATCGTTGCGGCCACCGACCCCCTGACTGCAGTTGATTTAGACAGTTCGCCATCTTTTGTGTGACTATGGCATTTCTGTGAGGTCAAACCTCTTTTATTAGACAGTGTGTATCGGTGTTATCTTTGTTAGTCGGCGCCTAAGTATTTTTTTTTATTGTTGCCAGGATTATCGGTGACAATCCTAACTTTAGTTTATGTTTATACCCCGTGTACCATTATCATGTGAATCATACTGTGGATTTAGTTCTATGAGAGAAGTTAGGAAACGTACAATATTTATTTCAACTGACGCAGGACTTTTCAGATCCAGTAATATGTTGCTACAGAAATAATCCCCAACGATTTTATTTTCTATAGGCTAATGTAAATTACGTTAATTTCTTTTTTTAAAGTTTGATTGCAAGTTTTTCGTTGAACGTATTTTCATTACCTTTTTAAGTGAGTGACAATAATAACTTGTTATAACACGGCTAAAATCAAAAATTACTGGCATTGGATAAGGTGGGTAAAATAAACTTTGATTTATCTTTGAATAATGAAAAGAAGAACGTTACTAATAATTCCTAATTTGTTGAAGTCGTGAAGAGCTGCAAGAATATCTCTTGGCATAAACTCTAGCCCCCCTGTAAAATTTTAAGCAGTAAATGCAATATCAGAAATATTCTGTGTTTCTTAGTGACCAGTTGTATCATCATTTGTTGAAGTTGTGAGGAGGCAAGAATGAGGTAGTTTAGAAAAAAATGAAACAGTAAATAAGAAATACTTGATTCAAAATTAATATTTACTTCTTAAATTATAATTTTTTCAATCAAACATAATGTAAACTTCATAATTTACCCAGGCTCTGAAGATGACACAACTAAAGGTCGAAACGTCGGCAAAAAAAGAAAAACCGTGTTTTTCTAAACTATATAAATATTTTAAAAATAACGATTACAATACTGATAATATTCGGCGAAAAAATATCCCAATGTTATTATCTCATGTAGGATTTGGCAGTTTTTATTATTGAATACCACAAAGTGGGATTTGATTTTGCTGGATATCAAATTGAAACTACACTATAGTAGAAAAGCGCGAAGGATCCGTGCCGAATATCAGTTGGCTAACTACAAATGAGTCAAGGGATTTAGTTGAGGCAAGAGTAAACCTCACTTTAATTAATTTCATTCTCAGGAAGGGTGGCTACTAAGGGCGGAAAAGTGGTCCTGGCCTTTGTTAAGTTTCTTAATATTATAGCAGGGTCAGCAACCTTTGCGCTCATTAAGGTAACAGTTGTACCAAAGAGCTTTTCTCTCTGATTACCCCGAGGAATCTAAGGGGATCCTATATTGAAAAGTGTAGTTACTTCCTTCCAATAAGGACATTGGTATTACGAACATCACGCCGATTTATTTCCTTGTCGGATTTAATTAAAGAAGACAAGAAAACATGACTTTGAGATGATCGAAAGAGAGAGAGCGAGAGAAACTTCTGAAAAATTATAAAGATAATCTTTTGCCAATCGAGACCTCAACAAAATGGTTATTATTATTCAGAAATCGTGAAATGCGGTCTGGTATGATGTAGGTTTCAGAAAAACCTTTTCTTTAACGTGCCAACGTTCGATCTTTATTGAGATCATCTTCAGGGCTCAAAGTGTTTGTCTTCTGTGTAATTGTTCTATTCTTGCACTCTCAACACCTACATCACACCAGACGGCATCTCACGATTTCTGAATAATTATCGATTAACGGTCACTAATCACCACACATGGTTATTATTTTTAATTTTTTATACATTTTAATTGTTTGTAAACTTACAACTGTATTTTATCTCATCTGAAATCGTAGATCAAATTTTCCTGAAAATAATATTCTCATCCAATTATTACGAGTTAAAGCATTACAAAGCCAATTTAACAGAATCGATACTAAATCATTTGTAAAGTCCCTGTAAATTTAAGAGTCACAAAAGTGATTCGGGTCAATGGCAATCTGTATAGTGTCTTTAAATCACTCGAGAGGCAAAAACTCGGCCTCATGGGTTGCACAGTTTGACACTCGACCAATAAATGTTTTACTATCTGGAGAAACGTCCTTACTAAATAAATAGGGATACCAGCACAATTTTTATTAGTGTGAGAAATCAAATCCGGGTTATTCGGAGATCCCTTATCTTTATTTTTGTAAGTGGACGGAGTCTTCTTATATTCAAAACATTGTATAATATGTGTGGTGTTTAGTGACCGTTAGTTAAGAATTATTCAGAGATCGTGAGATGCAGTCTGGTGTTACGTAGGTTTTAGAAAAACGTTTTCTTCATCGTGCCAACGTTTCCATCTTTATTGATATCATCTTCAGGGCCTGGGATTTATAATTTTTTAGAAATGGTTTACATCCACAGGGATAAACACAGCATCAATTACAGAACAGACACATGTAAACTCAGACGCAGCTACGCTGATATCATTAATCAAATTCAATATCGATAACATACATATATCATCATCACATTACACAAAACGTACAATACAACATATAAAACAATCATCACATTACACACATAAAACATTTCTACATAGTCTAATTCTTTAACAATTTGGCTTTTCTTTCCCTAATTATCCTAAAAAGATAATTAGGCCGAACCATCCCCCATTTTTCCTATTATCGGCTCTCCTTTCACCTCAAAGAAGCCGACTCCTCATATAAAAAATGTTTTTCCATTCCCGACTTCCTTCTCCACCCCTTTCAAATCCAACGTATATAAACATAAAACATCAATATCTGACTGGCACTCTTAACACGACACACAAGAATGACACATCTACATGGAAAACATTGAGTGAGTACAAATACTTTGACTGAATATAAAATTTTCTAGCTTTGTATAAATTCATGTTTTAATACAAAATTTTTTAGCATTGTATAAATGCGTTTTTTTATCTAACATTTTCTAGCATTCTATAAATTCATTATTTTAATCTAAAATTTTCTATCATTGTATAAATTCATTTTTTTCACATCCTACATGTATTTGTAACATTTAAACGATGTTTATAAATCCCAGGCCCTGAAGATGCTCTCATTAAAAATCGAAACGTTGGCACGATAAAGAAAATGTTTTTCTAAAACCTACGTCACACCAGTCCGCATCTCACAATTTCCGAATAATTTGTAGAATATATTTTCGTACCACATATTTTAGAAGTGAGTTAGTCGGTACCACAAAACAATTGTATTCTACCCTATCTGATTAATTTGAAACGTTGTCTTACGTTTAAAAAAAATGAAAAATAACTACTGATTATCTTTTTTTTATTTTTTATTACGTTTTAATTGAAAAATAATTTCCTTCCTAAATTGCGTAATCGTTTAAAAAAAGACTGAAAAGTTAAATTGCGAGGTTTAAAATCGAACTTACACCCTCTCAGAAGTTTGGTCCAGCTTCGCATAAATTTGGTTCAAGTAAGAGCTTTCCCAGTTTGAATCGGCCTACCACAATCACCAAGGGAAACTGAAACTTGACCGTTCACCGCAAACGGACGGTTATTAGCAGTGTTGGCCTCAGACAGTTTATCTCATTTTGTTTTCCATATTTAGTATGTCACTCTCATTATGAATCACAATGGTAGTTTGTAAACAGTGATTTAGAACACAAATAACAACTGCTCTCTGTCCCCAGCGATACTTAATACTTATAAGGTAATTTGTGCAGAATTCAAAAGAAAAATAATCTCATTACCAAGTTTTATTAACTTAAAATACTTTAAAAAAGTTAAATGAAACTTATTTTAATTTTCATTAACTTTTTGATTACGTTATGTGTTGTTTTGATCTCTAACGACTGTAAATTTTTAAAAAGAAAGGATCGTATGCAATGTTGTTTGTTATCTTTCATGCTCTGATCAACCTTCATAAACTTCATCCATGGTTTTTTTAGGGAAGGGTTGATATTCTACAAATTATGAGAAAAACGTACACGAAAATACTAACTCAACTAAGAAACTAACTGGCTTTCATGAAACCTCTCATTGTATTGTAACAAGTAAAAATTTCTCCAAACTAATTTTGATTTATAACTACCAATTGATATTAACTAATTAGTAGAAATGATGAATGGTGGAGTGAGTGCGGTGTCCAAATTTGAAATTCATGTCGAGAGACATGGTCGTAGAAGTTCTTCAATCTGATGATGACCTAAACGCTCGAAATCCGGATCGTTGAAACAAACTTATTGTGAGTAGTAACTAATTAGTTCCCGCCTGATTAGAAATGTACATACCTTAGCGAAATAGGAAAATATCAATATGTTACGTGAAATTGAACAATATTTGTATTTAGCTGTGAGTAATTATTTAAAGTAAATCTATTTAAAATAAGAATACTTCAGTATTCTGGTGAATAAGTGAGAATATTTTTGAGATTAATTAATTGTGTAATAATAAGGATATTCTGATAGGGATTGGACTATGGTCAATAAGTTCTCATGAAAGGCCAAACTTTCTCAAGGCTTTATTGACCCAAACGCGTACAAAATCAATAACAGCATGGTATATAAAAATTCCTGTATAATTTATAGGTAACATTAAAAACCATCAATTGTTAGCGAAACATTACCCTCAAATATTCTTAAATTCTTTCATTGTGGTACGTAATGGTTTCTCGCCGATTCATAAACATGTTTTTTCAAATTATTATTAACAATTTATTGTATGCGTAAAGAGCGGTCAGGAATAAATTAAAATTACTATCGGATATCGTACTACAGCAGTCGGTATCAGTAAGACATGCAGTCGTGACGTTTTTAGTGCGAAAATGAATTGACCACATTTGCTTCCATTCACATTGATTCTCCATTTGCACTACCAGTCTTCGAATAGCGTGGGGTGACTTTGCAGATAAGAGCTTAAAAGGTAGGATTGTAGTGGGAATAGTGTGAAGAGAAGAGAGCCGTGTCGTCGGCAAACGTGGAGAAGACTGTGGGGAAGTAGGATTGTCAACAGTTTGTATTGTAAAAAGGATCGGGCCAAAGATATTTCCTTGAAAGCTTAGGCAATAAGTATTCAAACCTGGTTTAAAAATTCTTAAGTATTCAAAACTGGTTTAAAAATTTTATTTCTTTAATATCACTTAGGTCAGGGGTGAATAACCATTATGTTACCTTCTCCTTAGACGGCGGCAATCACATCTTTTTGGGGTATATTCAACACGTTACATATTTTCTCACTTTTAACACAAATTATGTGCGAATCAAAATGTACGAAACAATAAAACTGTAAAAAAATGGTTTCTGTATCAATACAATAATTTATTTATATTTAGAAGTCCATAGTAGCAGTTATTGATTAAGTCGCTGCCTTTTTTTAATTGATAGCGTTCGGATCGCTTCTAATACCTGCCAAAGTTTCCTTTTTAGGTTGTGAGACTCTCTTTTGACAATTCTCACACTGGTAAAATCGAAATTATGACCATTTTTGAAATCGTGAAAAGACTAGCCGAACCTTATTATTTTTTATTATTGGTTTAATTTTGTTTTATCCCACTTTAAACGCCTTCGCAATTAATACAACCTTATATTCGACTTGTGACATTTATACGACAATGAAGGATACCTAGATACTATCTTTAAACTTTGTATTAACTTTTTTGAGTGGAAAATTACTTTTAAATGCAACCGATTCTTCGGTTTTTTGATATTTTCTCTTGCGATAATAAAGTGGGTTTTTTTAAATATCGATATTCCAAAGTCAGTATAATTTGTATCGATATTTCCCTTAATTTTTTTCAATTAATTAACGTTTTGGTTGAGATAAAAGTCAGTGTCACAAGCTTCGAACGTCGGGGATTCGAACCCACGACCTTCCGCTAAATACGCCGCTGCTCTACCACTTGACCCATCGTGACTTCGATCCAGTCGGACACCAACTTCCCTTACCAACCACACCTTTCGAATTTTTCCTTCTTTTTTGCCATTTTTCAATTATGACTGATTCATTTGATGACTTTTTTTATCTCAACCAAAACATTTATTAATTGGAAAGAAAAAAATATTTGGTCAAGCGGACCACAAAACCTAATAAATTTCCCTTAATATTAATTGTGCCGTTGTTTTCTACACTATCGTACACATAATGACTATCTAAAGTTAATATTTTCTTCAATAAGCTTCGCTACATCCGGTTTATTACTGACAAATCAAAAAGTGCCTTTTTTGTTTACTAATATTACTAATAATATTAACGCAGCCTTTAATTAAATACTTATAAAGCAGCCTGAAGAGAAAAACAAGGTTTAAAACTCGAAAACGAGAAATATTTAATTAAATTAGGGGTTAAATTTGCTATCTGTGGTACACTTTCACGACTGTTGGGGAAAAACTCATTCACGTACAAAGCTCACATTACTGTCCTTATAATTAGTGCAGAAACAGTAGAGAGCTGCAGAGGTATAATCAAACGCCTTAAATAACGTAATGCTGATTACATACCTTCCAACTTCAAGTAGACAAGGCATATAGAGTGATGATTCGCAACTTGCACCAAAGTGTCCCACTAAATGAATTAACTGAAATGGGTCACTATGTAAGAAAAGTATCATTCGTCAGTGAAACATCCTATCTCAACGCAGGCATTGCCCCTGATCTTCGGGTACCTGGAGCCAACCCCAAACAATAAAAAAAATTTGATATTGAGACCCTCCGTTCCTCTAGGGTTAAAATCGAAGAACCACATAACAAAATCTGATAATACAGTATAAAAGGTGTCAATAGTACGGCCATGCCAGAAGATATTGTCAGCACGAACGGAAGTGTGTTAAATGTGCTGGTAATCACTTCAGTCAAGATTGCAGGAAGGAACCTACTTCGGCCGTTACATGTGCACTGTTCAATGGACAGCGTCCGGCCAACTATAAAGCATTCGTGCATAAAGCGCTTCAGCAAGAACCTCGCATCCACCTCATCAGCAATCATCCGTTTTCACACATTTTAGACCCATCAGCAGACCATCTCACTTCAGTAACAACGTATCTTCACCACTCAGTCATCAGTCTTCTCTCCTGTCCCCACTACTTCCACACCAGTCACACAAAACAATATCACTCTTGCTCCCTCAGGAGATATCACAAACCTACTGGGATCATTTTTAAATGATTTTAAATCACTAATCACGCCCTTAATATCCTTATTAACCACAGTTGTAAACAGTTCCTTTCCCAAACTCTCTAGTTAAATTGCCCTCATTCTACTTTCTCTTACCCTGCTCCTTTGGTACGCCAACTGACTACCAACCCGACGACATGAACAAAATACTGTCATGTGAAAAACGAAATGATGTAGCTTTGATAACAGAAACTTACATTATTGAGAGATCGCTATTTTACATCCCAGGCTAAAAACTTACACCACCTACACCCCCGATGGGACAGCCCATGGAAGGACAGCAATTCTCGTTCGCAACTCCCTATCTCACTTCCCAATACCCTACAACGTAACTCGCTCCCTCCCAGCAATCGCGATTTCACTATTATCGGAGGCATACTCTGTATCAGCTACTGTCCTCCTAACCAAACAAAAAACGAAAGCCAATTTTTATATTTTATTAATAGCCTTGGTCCCAGATTCATCGGTAGTGGTGACTTTTACGCGAAGCGCCCAAGATCGTGTATTGTCGCGAATCCGAGAGGTCGAAACTTTTACAATTTCTCCTTCCTGCCTCTCCTACCTCCTGTAGAACACGACCTAACCTGCTTGATTTTTTATTTGCTCCAACATAAGATCCGTCTTTACCGATACTTATACCTTAGACGATCTTTCTTCAGACCATAGCTCAGTCATTCTATCTCTTGATATTCATCCAAAAAAAACAACCACCTGGACCTACTATAATAAACGGACCAGTTAACTGGGCAATTATCGATGTTCTGTCGAAGACAAATTGAAATTAAATGTACTTTTAACGATCACAGCAACTGGACGGCGGTGTAGAAAAACGTCATACAACAAAGCATCTGGCAGCCGTCATACATGGCACCCAACGGACCAACTTCACCTTATAATCTACCACTATATTTAAGACAACTTATAACTCTAAAGCGACGAGCAAAAATCGGTTGGCAATGCTCCCGTTACCCCTTAGACAGAAAAATTATTCTTCGAGTTCCATTGATATTTTATCTTTCATCTCCTTTCTGGGCTATTACGGCCGGATTAGCGCAATGCTACTAAAAATACTACTCGCTCCGGTAACGTTCAAGTCTATTATCCTAAAGAGACGGAACGTAGAAGGGTTGATCTGAAAGGGAGTCTAACGAGGTTATTCCGTCCTCTCTTGTATATTCATAAAGCCATGATATTTTATCAGACTGTCCTACCGGGACGTGTAATAATTCAATTTAAATTTCGTGAAACGTGACACAGTTGTGTCAAAGAGAGTAAGGGATAAAAGGGACGGTCATTAATTAAACCATAATGGCTACGATGTGATTCTATTTTTATTTTCATGAACTTGTTTACCTTAAACTTTAATATTGATGTCGATTTATGTCGTTGTAAGCTTTTGCAGCGATTGAGGGAGAATGATGCCCATGATGCAATTCAAGTTGATCGGTAAAAGGATAACCCACTTTGAAAAAGTCTTTTCAAATTTGTAGTAGCAAAAAAGAATGGCACGTCTAATAGGACAACATTAA